TTCTTATACTTCGTCGGTTGGGCAGCTGGTGGAACTGATGGAGCTGTGGATGACTGGGCAGGGGCGGATGGTTGAGAACGGTCGCGGTTCGCCTCTCTCCTAATGCTGGCGTCCACCTCTTGGGCATTCGAAACAGCACGAGTGTAGGTATGGGCTCCGTGACCTACAATGTTGTGACGGACTGCTGGGTAAAGCCCGTCAGTGAACCGATGTGCCCTCTGTGCCTCCGTACACACCAAGTCTGGAACAAAAGCTGCAAGTCTAGTGAATTCTCTTTCGTACTCATCAACAGAACAAGTACCCTGTTTGAGCGACAGGAATTGACGCTCCATCTCTGCTCGGTAGTACGTGGGATAATACTTCTCACGGATTATCTCCCTGAACCTCTCCCAGGTACAACCTTCTTTCTTGTCGGGACGCATACTCCAGTTGGCATTCCACCAGATTCGAGCATCACCGGTCAGCTGAAGCTGTGCGCAAGTAACGCGATAGCGATCTGGACAGTCCATGACCTCGAAGATCAATTCAAGGCCTTGAATTCACTCGTCCACAATACGAGGATCTCCCTGACCGGAGAATTTCTCAGGATGATAGTCGTGGAACTGTGCGACTACTGTGGCCTGTGGGACAACCAGGTGATCGGGTTCCCTACGGGGCGACATCTGAACATTGAGGAAGTTCATTATTATTGAACGCATGAAAAATACTTTAACTGATTACTAAAGCACACAAATCTCTTGACGAGTTGCCAAATATGGCTGGAAAATACTGACATTAATCCTGGGAAATCTAGAGTTAAATTTGAATATATTCTGAACTATATGTCCTGAACCTGATTCGAGCATCTTAACTAAGTCATAATCGAGAAATTTCTGAGCATAGACATAGTAATTTGTTTATAACTTAAAACATAAATCAACACTTACCTGTAGTCGGCGAGGCGTGAGCGTGACAGGTTCAGGTTTTCAAAAATTTCTGACTCGTAAAAATTTTCAGAGAGCAGAAACGTGCTCTGATACCAATTGTAACACCCCGCTATTTCATGAAAATCAGAGTACGTTTTTCGCAATTTTTTTCTAAATAAAATCATTTATTTTGTGAAATACTGATTCAGAGTGCTACCGTAAAATCTGACTTTATCTGAAAACCGTTATTTTTAGTTTAACAACAAACGGTCATATAACATAGTAACCGACTGAGGTCGGATCAAAAGCTGGTTTGGCAAACTGAAGTATTCAGCGGGAAACATAGTGTAGCCAAAACATGTTTAAACATAAATACAAAAGTCCTGAACCGGTCGCCAGCTCACTCCTCGGCTCCGACCCTGTGACCTGAAAAACATGAATAATGTGGGGGCGTGATCACTAATCCACTGTGCTCCGCAGAAACTCATACTAAAGTAAACAGTGAAAATAATAACAATATCATGATCCTGACATATATAACTGAACTGATACTGAACTGAAACTGAAACTGAAACCGGTACTGAATAATCATGATCTGATACTGATGTTGTGATAATCATCACCTGACTGATACCTGAACATCTGCCAGCATAAAAATGTTGGACACCATGTGCACACTCTAGTGGGTAGACTAAGGCCACTAGAACCCAGAATAGATCGGCGACCATTCCGAGTGGATACTGATAATACATACCTCAAACATGGTGGAGTAATATAATCAATGTAATACCCAGTCTGAGTCCCCACCTGATCCTTTGAAATGAAAATGCTGTGCTAATATCTGAAGTCTGATCAAACTGAAATATAATATAAACAATTACTAAGTACTATGCTCAGACTGATAAAAATAGTTGTTTAATATGTTAAGATGCTCTACTGGACTTTAACATGATATTTGGATTTCATCGGTATAACTGGAACCGGTTAAATAGGGAACTGAACTGATATAAATTTACTGAACTGAACTAGACCCAGAATTATAACTGAAAATGAGATTTGAACATGAACCGGGACTTATAACATGAAAATATAGCCTGAACCGGTCCAACCGGTCTGAACCAGTCTGAACCGGTCTGGCCGGATCACCGGCTTGCTCTAGCCGGGCAGTCGGCCGCTGGCTCGACCAATGGGCCTGCCAAGGCCGCGGGCGCTGGCGCTGCCTGGACTG